GCAGTGGAAAAATATATAGTATACCATAACTATATTATAGTTATGCTTCATTTTGTAAGAATTTAATTTTTTTTTTTTTTTGATGATTTGTGCTTCTATGGCAATAAACAAAGGATTACAAAAAAATTGGTTAGAAAAAAAAATGTTGTATCCAGCCCAAAAACATTTCAAAGTACTTATATAATGTTATAAGTATCCATTTCAATAAAATCAATACCTGTAGTACCGCAGGTCAGGTTATACATTTCAGCACTCTCGGTATTTGCCTTAAGTAGCCGTATAGGCCGAAAATCCTGCCTCGCATAAATAAGTGGTAGAAAGAGTAGAACAATTTAGTAGAGCAACAATAAATTGTAAATAATTTTGTTCATTTTAGATTCTAGTAGGTTTGGTGTCGCTAAAAATGAGCTCACAAAATTGGCTAAATATAAATCCACAGTTACTTACAAGTAAATTATGTTAAATCAAATGCGGATACCTATTTTTACATGGCAAACTACATATTGACATTTTTGATTTTTCAGTTGACAATTTAATCAAATTTCATCTAACCTAACCTTTATTTCAAAATATTAAATCCAAAGTAATGCAAAATTAAATTATTGATTGAAAATTACACGTAATATTTGTAAAATGATTTCAAATATTTAGCAGTGACCATTAGGATGAATTTACTACGTTGGCACTTTGACAATCGTATATTAATTATTGACCATTTCAAATTTATTAATGTAAATTCCAACACAGTTAAAATATCTATATATACAGTAATATTAAGCTAAAATCGTCTTAGAGAAAAAAAGCAATAAAGTAGGAACAATTTAAATAATTTAAATCCAGAGAACCCTATAGGCAAGTCTGTTTAGAGCTAACCGATTTCACATCGATAAATACTGTAGGTATATTATTTGGAGAATCATATAATAAAATGTTTTAGTTAAATATATCTCGTCTATAACACACATTTAACCTGGACACATTAATGTTAATTAATAAATATTTTATTACCTATAACTCCAATAATCTAGGTATTTATAGTAACAATACCAAGTAGAAGAAATGGTTTAATTTTTTATATAACGACACTATAATACTCTAAAAGTATAAACTGAATTGTTTGTTCGCCATTGGATAAATTCGTTTTCGTGGTGTTTTTTATTATTTACGTATTATGTTTCCTTTGCTATAAAAGTACATACAGTGTAGTTACAACTATCATTCTATTTTCGATTTAACAACATGTATATAATATTCTTACAACAATGGCCTTTAAATGTATATTTTGTGATTTATTGATAATGATAAATACATACAGTAGATGTACTTTAACAAACTAATTATTATACATTTTTAAATAATTAGAGATATCAATCAATATGTATAGGTAAATGCTCTGCTGTACCGTAAGTGACAGTGAACCTGGTCGTTGAATAAGTCACAGTAATGGGTGATATTAGGTGTGGTAAATTTGAATTCAATTACAAATCTTTGCATGCGAAAAACGATTCTGAGCGAGGACGGTCGACTGTAAGGTAACCTATATAACTAAGTAATTATGTTACTGTTAGTAATATGGCGTAGGTTGAATCGATTTATTCCAAAAACTTTACATTTATAATATACATTTTATTATATTTTTATTTATTACAATAGTGAATTTTTCTATCGTTTATTATCGTTACTAACTTTTGAGGCAAGACCGAAATATTGTAGAGCCCTGGAAATAGTTTGTGGTATAAATAGGTAATAGCTAAAAATCTATTAATCTACTTATATATATTGTAGTATTTTTAAATATATTTTACTTTATGTTTTTGATAATTAATGTTACTATCGAAGTAATTTATTTGTAATATGGTATAAGGCTAACCATGGAATTATTAAGCTTGTTATATTATTATTATATTATTTTAATGGAAATAAATTTTATTATTTTCATACAGACATAATTTTATATTATTATATCATTTTCATAGAAATATGATATATTATTTTTTAATAATAAAAAAACAGTACTTCAAATTATTTTATTTTTTTACGTCACGTACTTTATTCTAAGTTATTACAAAATTGTGAAGAATTTAAAATTATATTTGTGTACCCACTAATATGTACATTGCACAGTGTATTATATTGTATATTATAATAAATTTAAAACACCATAAAGAGAGGGAACATTTTTGGTAACGGTGGTCACATCAATCAGTACCACTGTGCAGTGTGCAAAGCTACACGAAATTTTAAAAAATATGTTGCAAATTTTAGGTACAACTGTACAAATAATTATGTATCATAATATTATTTAATACAAATATATACATATAATGACATTTTAAAAATATTAAATTAATGTTAATCTACGAATATGTTCTGCGGTACTTCGGCATTGAATTTTAAGTTATTAGGTAAAAGCTAGTAATACATTAAGACTAATTATATGATTATTTGTTTTAGTTGATATAATTAAACGTTCGTAAAATGTTTGTACATATTATATTTATGCCCGGATACTTTATTCGGGTTTTAAGTATTTCGTATAAATGATAACAGTTAATGAACGCTACGTGCGATTATCAAAAAAGTTGTATAATGATAATATACAAGTATACTTACTTAAAAAAATTCATACATAAATAAGGAAATAAGATAAAATTCCAAATCGAAAAATAATATGGTTGTGTTAAAATACAACGATTAGCCGGTGTTCGGAACATAATTTTTTATCATTATAGAAAAATAGATAGTAAATTAGATTCAAAAACGACGCAGCGTACAAGACTTGTAGATTTAGTAGTGTAGACTTAGTCTGTGTACACCGTGTCCTGAAATGTTTGTTTAAAACCCGACAGGAAGTCATAGCAAAATCTGACATCCAGTCTACACAAAAATAGTTTTAAAAACACGTGAGAAGTATAAAAATTGATTTGGAAGTTGAAATTGACTTTTTAAAAAGGATTGTGCATAATAAATTGTATACATCATTTTAAAATTCAAATATTTAAAATTTGATTTTACATTTTTTTACATAGCCATTGCTGATGGACATTTGAACAACCGATTTTCCCTCGGAAAATACATTTGCGTGCTATTGATTCATCAGGGACCAAGTGATCAATAATAATTAATAATAAGTAATAACCACTAACTTATCAGTCAGACCACCGTTTTGATCGTTAATTTATATCATGTATGATACATCTATCGTATACCTACCTGTTAGTTATAAACTATAAATATTATAACATATTTTTAGTTTTATATTTAAGTAAAAAATTTACCATTCTAGTTATTGGCTTTGTGTTTCCAAAAATATTAATAAAAAACAAATCAAATTATCTTAAAATGTCTGTAAAAAAAAATGAAAATTCGATAAGTTATTATTGTTCACGATAAATTAATCACATCATGAACAATGTAACATATAAAATATGACATTTTACCGATATTATTATTATTATTCTGATATTTTTATTTATCGACATTATTAAATCATTTAAATCACGTACTATATAGGAATAACTCATAATCTGTAGTCCGTAGGTATTTTACTTGTATATGTTTCCCAGAACTAATCTAAATTTTACAATTCTGCAATAACAGCTGGCATTTGTCAGTTTACAAGTGCAGTTTTTGGATCAACTCTGCAGAGACTAGTAAAAATATTTTTCAACCACGTATTTCGTTTGACTTTAAAATATGCTGATAAAAATAGAATCGACTTTCTAGGCCTTTCTTTAAAAACTGAAATAATTATTTGAAGTAAAAGAACACAAAATCGTTTAAATAAACAATTTTTTTTTGATATATTTTATTAAATAGTTTTGCGTAAACACCAGATTGACGGATGGCTATTGTGATATCTCCCTGTTATATGTAATACGGTAAAATTGATGTCGTTTCAGTGAGTTATTCATGTTTCAAGTGCAAAAATGCAAAAAATATGTCTGCAGATAAAAATAATAATTGTTGTTAGTCGTATAATTTGATTAATTTAAGCTAAAACTAGCATAGATAGTTATATAAAACAAAATAAACCTTGTGTTTATTTGGTTGAAACAATCCCAAATTTCAATAAAAAGTTCAGTTATTTTTTAGAACAGATTAAAAGCTAGAAGAATTTTCTGTTCTTCTATAGCCTTTTATAATTTACTTTTTATATTACTTAAATATAGCTAAAATTGTATTGCTAAACATATTTTTTAACAAATTACACATAAAATTCATAAAATTTTTACAAAAAATATTAAATATATTTTTCGGATTTTTCTAATAACTATGATTTTCAGTAACATATCTCTAATTTAATTAGGTACATCCGTTTAAGTCTCTCGTATTTTATGCATAAGTAAATTATTTGTATAAACCTTCGCCTATAATATACGTACTTACGTATATATAAGGTATTAATCTTCCCTGACATAATTATTTTTATTTAGATCCATCAATATTTTCAAAAAACCATCTGCTTCACAATTAAGACTAAAATAGGTTCATTTGAAAAATATAAGTTTTTTTAGCCATAAGGTATTCTTTAAAAATGGTATAAAAATCCAAGTATTCGAAAATCTGATACACCTGATGTGCTTAAAAATTCTCAAAATCATAATTTGAAAATACATTATCATACGGTTAAATGTGGATGAGTATGCTCGTTGAATCACGTTCTACCTATATATAAATAGAAATTAGTAGGCAGAATGTTTTCATAGGAGATACACCATACAATTATATAATTGTGTTGTAAATAGGTATATGTAACTGGTATGAGGTGTATGCACATTGTACATAGGTATGTAAATGTATAATATAATATTTTAAGTCATTACATTTCACCTAGATAAAATGTTAAAGTACATAGATATTTAGTAAATCTAATCTTTGGTTGTGCTGACATAATATAAAATTGTCCCACCTAAGAATCGCTTAAGTTGCGACTATGGTGGGGTTCGATGGTGCATTGGTGCGCATAAAAAGCGTCACTCGTCGTCGTAGTCCGTATTGGTACTCCGCGCACGTTAAGAGTATGCGGTTTAGACTGCAAACTGGTCATGCCCTTAACGCGCGCGGAGTATACAAGCAGGTGTCTGCAATCAGTTTCAAGATTCACCGGTGAAGTGTCTGCACCGGACCAACCTCGCGCAAACAAAAACAAAATCATGAACACACGACCAAAATTATTTTTGACGAGTATCGTCGAGTTCGTTGTGCGAATGTTGGAGTACTGATGTGAATCAACAAGTTCAATTTTCTCCACCTCGTAACAGGTAAAATAAGTTTCAAATTACAGTACCATTAACTGCGACCATTATCGGTACAGTTGGCCAGTCACACATCGATGGCTTCTAAGCCTAAATATGTATGTCACAAGATATGTTTTGTGTTTTGACAGATTTGCCAAAGTGTTAAGGTCTTTCAAAAACAATTGTCTAACGTAATTATGTTTTTTTAAATTTAAATGGGACTTGTTATAAATACAAATAACATTTTTTTCCATCAAGACTTATAACAAATATTAATTTAATAACAAACTGAATTGATTAATGATATAAAAAATAAAATTATTTTGACTAAATTATTTGATGTACAAAATGAAATGTATGTAAAATTATTGTTGCAAAAAAGGTGGAAAATAAAGAATATTATTAGTTTTTATCAAGTGCAAACACTAAGAAAATAACATTTTTAATTTAATATTTTAGCCAAATAAAGACCGGTATTAAATGTAATCTGGTGTTAATTAAAGATATAACATTTTTAAATGTAAGATAATATATAAATATCATTCATAAGCATATTTATAATTTTTAATCAATATAATTTTTTGCTAAATTCAAAAAATAAAATGATTTTATTAGGTACCTACATAAATACCTCAATAATAATAAATTAAAAGTAAAAGTATATTTTACTCTTAAAGCTGCTGGAGCAGAATATTTGGAACAATACTACAATAGTAATTCATTATGCATGGAATGTATATACATAAATTAACGTTCGTATGATTGAGTTAAACTAACTTAAAATTCTAAAATATTTCTAATATTGCTTAGAATGTACCTATAAACGACCAAACCTACTAATTCACAAGTGAACACTGGTAAAAGAGAATGATTTTTCAAGTATTTAGTTTATTTTATTTTGTTTTTTACTACCAGTCATCTGGTTTAAATTTTTTCAAAAGATTTGAATTCGTTAACCTTTTTAAAATGTATTGTACGAATAATATTTTACGTTTACAATTGAACACATACTATATGTACCTAAAGATACTAGATAGTATTGAACAAATATTTTCGTTTTTTGAATAAGTTTTTAAAAATAATTTTGATTTTAATACTTGTAAAATTACAAAAGAACTCAATTTTCTAATTTTTAATTTAAAGTCGTGATGTTTCATTTGAGTACCTATCATTCGAAGTTTATATTATTTACTTTAATTTTAGGCGCTGAAAAATGAAAATAATTAACAAATATTTTATATTTTAATTCTAAGATACTTAAATATTAATTAAACAATACACGTTTATTCATAAAATATAAAATAATTTGATTTTAACTATGTATATTCAATAATATATTGATTATCAACAAACAATCTGAAATGTGACAAATAATTATTTTTAATTTTGAAAAGTGTGTATTTATGTAAAAATGATTTGATTTACTAGTAAAAACGTATTTACCTAAATACATTTACAAGACTTCTGTGTTAACAAGTACGCAATACAAGCAACGCACACACACACACACACACACACACACACACACATTTAATCATAAACTAACAAGTCATATTGCAATAGACATAATGAGCTGCCTAGTATATAAATGTATACAATTTTATAATTTATTGAAAAATTGCATTAACTTGGTGGTAAATTAGTATGTAGTAATAAATATGAAAATGCAGTTACCTATCTTAAAATAATGAGCAGACAATTTCATTGTGTATACTTAATATTATACCAACGTTAATGTTTTAAGTCCTCGACGATTATACTTTTAAATTATACCACAAATAATAAGTTATTACTGCAAATAATTCTTCATTTAAAAATCCAAATTTGTAATAGCATCCGTATGTGCAAAACATACGTCTATACGTAACAGTGTAGCCGCCACTGGAGGTCGCGAAAACTAGCTAATTGCGTTAAAGACACTGATTACGGCCGACTTTTTAGTTTACCTAATCCAATTATATCGCCTAGGTCCTAGGACGATAACGGACATTGGGTAAACTTCTAATAACTGTATATGTATCATGTATAATTAACCATAATATATTTGCATGTGTGAAGCTATTTTAAACATGATATTTATTATCGGTCTGTTTTCATGAAAGTTGTAAAACATTTTCATTTTGAATTAAGGAGACTTGCAGTAGGTCGTGTTTCAAGGAAATTAGTATAGGCAATTTAACGGGCACGGCTGTTTTCGGCTGAAAGCCGTACCCTTCCCTGTTTGGCAAAATTTACTATTCCACCATACTATAAAGTTTAATAACTACTTTCTGTTGTAAATATCAAAAATTATTAATTACATAAAATGTTCATGGGTAATAATGTAATAAGTATATAAATTAATAATAACATTTTATACTTTTTGTCAATAATTATTTGATAAATATTTTATACAGTCATTATTATATGCATGCATATAAGTAATACACATTAGGTTTATGTTGTATTGATTGTAACACATTTATTTAATGACAATTTATAAAATGGCAACCACTAAATTCCACTGCCTATTTATGTTTATCTGTGTGATATGAATACTAACTATTAGTGCTATTTATGGTAGTTCGCGCTTCCGAGCAAAGCATTTTCGATGTTCGATTTTATTTAGATGCCCAAGGTGGGAACATATAATTTTCGTTAATCGGACATTTTTGAGCCTAGTAAAATAGATCTCTTAGTAATATTTTTTTCCTATAGAATACTATAAATTAATATATAATTTTAAAAGTATAACAATTGAATTTAATAACCTCGGGATAACAGGATTACAGTTAAATTAATATTTAGTATAACAGTACAGATTTTTAACTAGGATTTTTTTCTCATAATTTATTTTTTATTTATTGAATAATTAACTCTTTAAAAACACAATATACCATATATCATTTTCATAATGCAATACTCAATACCTGATAATCATAGCTATCACACAATTGAAAAAAAAACTGTTAGTTGTACTAATTTTGAGCTGAACCTAAAATATAAATATAAACTAAAATAGGTAATCATTTTGATTCAGCTCAACATTTAAGTAGGTTGATATCAAATATTAAAAAACCTAGTTTCAGTTAATTAGATATGTTAATAATTCTCCTTACTATTATGGAAAGACTTAGTACTCATTTTCACACTTTTCAGTTGGAAAAATCATCTAATAAATTGAAAAAAAAAATGTGTGTCAATACTTTCAATGAAACTTGTACTTGTATTTATAGTTTACGGTTGGTACCTACTGACTACCTTTAAATTCAAACTTGGGAATCATCATCTTCAAAAATAGCACATGTTTCTTAGATACAAAAGTAGTTAATAGTATATAAAAGGTTATTTAAATTTAGTTTGAGTGAATATCGTTAGAACACAATGAATTGCGTAACTGTAGAAGATCAACTAAAAACATTTGAATTTAATAATTGTGTTTTTGTTTCAGTTATATTTACTGCTATGGGCCGTTGCTGCACAAGATTCAAATGCCTAAAATATTCAACGATTCTAAAATATTTGTGGACATGAAAATTAAGCTCTTACAATCTAGTTTAGTATCTATATCTGTGTTCTAACCTGTGTTGACCTTATTCTAATAAACGGAGCAAGGATGGATTTCAAGTGGTCTAGCGCTGCTTGACTATACCCGTTGTACTACGAACAGGCGCAGTAATTGATAACTGTATAAAACTGTATATAATATGTATACATATGCTTCGTCTACTAGTATAAGGTCTATGGTTCCAACTTCAAATTAAAATTGATAATGAGGTGATACCGTATCCTGTATATCTTAATTCGTGGTAGGGACAAAGTAGAAAAATTGTCTACTAAAAAAGTAACGTAGCTGCAAATGTATGTAATATCAATGTTTTATAGTATAATTTTCAGCTGTTACGTTTTACGCAACAATTGACAACAGCGCTATATGTTTTATATTGACCGTCGGATTCTTGAGCATTAGTGCATCGACTGTTACGCTCCCGTAAATATATCGATTGTATTATAACCAAAATAAATCCATTTATTTTGCATCCAGGGTTCTGAAATACATAAATAAATCTAAAATATTGAACAATAAGGGGGGGGGGGAACAACCACCTGGGAGTTTGACACCGATCAACACTGGAACCAACCAAACGTGGGCCCCTCTCTAGTACACCTGACAACTCGGGGGACAAAGCATAGGCGAATCTAGGAATTCATAGCAGGGTGTGCCTTTACCTCAAAAAGGCCCTCTGTAGTTCAAAATACCTCTCAGTTATCACACGTTTAAAATATGTTTCCCATTTGAAATCACAATATTAATAATATTAAATAATATTAAGATGAATTTTTATTACCTAGTTTAGATGCTATTTTTCGTGCTGTAAAATATACATGTTATGTTTCAAAATTATTCAATTT